GACAGGTTTGTGTATCATCTGAGGCCAAAGTTTGAGTCTGACAAAAGAGAACATGTTTTTGACTAAACTACTTGATTTTGACCTGGAAGTTTGAAGTTTGCACAAGTTGGTGTATAGTTTTGAGATTGTGTTTATAGTTGTGAGAAAATGGTGAATTGTTTCATGAATTGTGTGTTAGCAATAGAGAAAAACTGTAATTGATGTATTTTTTTATTCATTCATTATGTATTTATTTATTTCTGTAAAGTAACTGACAGTATATTCCAATGTGTGTTTACTGTATATTCTGTTGTTTGGTTTTTGAACTTTTCTCTTCTAGTGCTTTTCCTCTACTGTAAGATCTATTTACAGTAGTGTAATGAAAGTAAACCTTTCTTACAGTTTAATGCTGAATTTGACTGTATCTGCATCATTTACGTCGCATACTGTAACAGACATTGACTAGCAAAAGGATTCCTATTTCCCAAAAGGAGGTTTTTGTAACAGTGTTTTGAATTGATCTTACTAGTGTTCTCTAGGCAGTGACGTAGTGTGTGTATTTGGCAGGTTTGTGTGTCCTCTGAGGCCAAAGTTTGAGTCTGACAAAAGAGAACATGTTTTTGACTAAAGTATTTTACACAAGTTGGTGTGTAGTTTTGAGATTGTGTTTATAGTTGTGAGAAAATGGTGAATTGCTTCATGAATTGTGTGTTAGCATTCGAGAAAAACTGTAAATAAACTTATGCTAAGCACATTACATTCAAACACACACACTACAGTTTAATGCAAGCAAATGCCAGCAATTTCTTGTGAACTACTGTAAAATAGAGGTATTGAAGTCATTGGGGATACTATTATAGTTTTTATTAATATTTTGAATTTATGTTATCTGTTTTACATTTTAGTAATTTTCTTGTGTTTTGACATTTTTATGTTTTTATTAAATATGCCTATTTATTTTTTATTAACATTAATTAATAATTACAGTTTTTCTGAATTGCTAAAACACATTTCTTGAAATCATCACTAATTTTCTCAAAACCTTAAACACAAATCCAAATATTCAAACTAAATTCACGAAACCTCTGACTCTTCCATCAAAATCAAACAATCACTGCAAAACCATTTCACTTGCACTCAAAATCAAACAGTGCTCTCAGATCACACACACATGAGTTACATGAGACACACTACAGAGCATTAGTGTTCATTAGACACTACAGAGAAAAATGGAGAACACAGCATCCAGAACATAACAGATATATATTCAGCACTTGCAAAAATACTGCAGTTCAACTGCAAAGGCCAAAAAGGTCAACTAAAACTTTAAATGAATAGCATGTTACAGTACACTCAAATACTGTAAGTTGTGTGATTGTAAAATCAGAGTCAATGAGAGATTCATTATGTCTCAGCATCATGTCTTTGTGCTTGAGTCCGGCCTGAGGACTTTTTTGCTAGACAAATAGAAAAACCTCTGGTCTGACAGTTCCAGCCTTTATAACACTCTCAAAACCTTACTCTTTCTCTCCTCATCCTCTTCCTCCTCATCCTCCATTTCTTACATGTACTCTTCCTCCTCTCCT